AAGCGTAATTATATTTAAATTTTATATGGTTTATAAAGTTAAAAAAAAAAATATATTAATATTATATAAAAAATTATAATTTGTAGTATAAAATTACAAAAACCTTAATAAAAACTTTATTATAATATATATTTTAATAATTTAACGTGTTAATTAATGTTTAATATTAATTTTAATATCCATATTATAATAATAAAATATAAAAATAATAATTTAAAATATTATTATAGCATATATATAATCCAAAACCCCCATATAAAGGATAATATATATATGTTTATCTTTAAAATTAAAAAATAAATACTTTAAGAAAATATTATTATAAATAGTTAAATCTTTATACGAATTTACGGAATTAGGTATATATTAATTTAAAACTTATTTTAGGTATTATTAAAAAGAATTAGGTATAATCTTGTTAATATTTAATTTATACCTATTAATTATAAAACCAAATCAACTATTTAAAATTATAAGTTTATAAATAAATAATATATTAAATATTGATATAACAGAATTTCTAACCGAAAAAAATAAGATTTTTATAAAAATAAATATTAAAGCAAAATTTTAAAAGGTTTTAAAATCAAATATAATCGAAAACTTCAACAGATTATAGATTATAATTTATAAAAAAACAATTTCTATTATCCAAAAAAAATAAATAAAAAGGTTAGAAAAATTAAATTTAAAAATACTTAATATAATTAAAAAATTTATAAAATAATATATAAAAAGTATTTATATTATATTTATTTACCAACCTAAAATAGTTTTTAATTATTTTATAATAGTATAACATACAAAACCTAAACTAAAAAAAACTAAAACCTTTAATATAAAAATTAAATAGTAAATAAATTATAAGGATTAAAACTTTAAATATATAAAGTTAAACTTTTAAGATTTATACTTATACGTTTTTATAAACAGTTTATTCGTTAATAATAAAGATATAAATTCTTAAATTAACTATATTATAATATTTGGTAATAAAAAACTTATAAACTATAATAATAAAATATAATTTATTAATAATATTATTTATTGGTTATTTATTAAATATAAGTATATTATGCGTAGTATATTTGCTAATGAAATCTATAGAATGGTATAGGGCTTTAATATAAACTATATTATTTACAATATTATTAATATTATCCTAAATCGATTAAACCTCCTAATAATTCTTTTTATTTTATATATAAATTCTTTTTTGCTATACCAATATTTTGTTTAAATGGGTAATATTAATAAAAAAAAATTAATAATTAATTTTATAATTTTAAAATAATTGTATAAAAATAAAGAAATTAATAATATTTAATAAATATATAATAATTATAATCTAATAAATATAATAATAAAAATATCCCCAAATAAAGTTATAAAGATATTAATAGAAAATAATTAAATTAATTTACGCTTAAAAAGGTAAATAAAACGTAGGGAAATTAGGAATAATATTAAGTTAACGTAATAGTAGATTATTAAGGTTAATTATTAACACTAATCTAAACGCAAACCATCGCAGAAAATAAAAAAAGATATACTAGGAATAAAATAGTACGATATATACTAGCACAACCCTACTTATAGAATAATTCCTAATTTAAACTATTATAGTTTTATTTTTTAACCGTCACAAATATATATAATTATAAATATATAAAATTATAAATACGTAATAATATATATCCAAACCAACATAAATATATATTAACATAAATTTTAAAATTTTATTTATTTAATCATATTTTATAATTAATTAATTATAAAAAAAAAATAAAATAAATAATAATTATATAATATTAATATAAAGGTACCTTACTAATAATAAAATATCCTTATTATAAATAAAGGAGGAAAAAATAAAATACTCAACTTTACTAAATAAAAGGGTTAGGTATCCACTATTATTAAAATATAAGAATATGTTATATTTAACTAACCTTAAATAGATTCTTCCCTCCTTAAACATTTTAATATATCAATCTCAATACCATTAATTTACTTACTATTACTTTATTGTTATTATTATTATTCTTATTTACATACATACTTATTAACAAATATATTATTTATTTATAAACCGGTAATTCCAAATAATTAATTTAATTTTATAATTAATAAATATAAATTAAATGTTAATAAGATTATATTTAATTTTTTTTAATAATATTTAAAATAAGTTTTAAATTAATACGTATTTAATTTTATAAATCCGTATAAAGATTTAATTATTTGTAATAGCGTTTTTTTAAAATATTTATTTTTTAATTTTAAGGGTAGATATATATATATTAAATAGGAGTTGATATCTCCTACAGAATATAGCATATCACTTCAACATCTAAATCCTCGTGAAAGGCCTTAAATAATTAATAATAACACTATACTCTAAAAAAACTATAAGGATCTACTAATCAAATAAAATATATAAAATAAATATATAAAATAAAGCCATAAGCTATAAATATAAGAAAATAATAAATATATTTATATTAAATACATAATTAAATAATAATAATTGTAGTTATTTAATTAAAAGAATATAACAAATATTAAACCTTTATATGGCTTATAACTTAAGATTACATAATAATACCCTTACTCTTGGCAATATAGCACCACACCAGTTCACTAATTTTAATAACATTAAATTCCATAATAAAGCTTACCTTATAAAAATTATCTATAACTAAATACCCATTAAAATATATTAATTAATTAACAAAATAAAAAAATACCATAACCTAATTTAAAAAGCATACAAAATTATTTCCGAAGAAATATAAAAATTAAAAAAAACTTACTTATAAATAATAGTTAAAACCGTAAACAATACAGTAAATTTAAATAATTTCGTTTTTATTCTATTAATTTTTAACACTTATTTAAGAATTAACATAAATTTTCTCCCCACGCAATTGTAATTAAAAAGGGTTTAAACAATATAATGAACTGGTGCTGGTGTATCAAGTGACCTTGATCCTGATCATGTGATTATATTCTTAGTATAAGTACCATTTATGGTCGCACACACCCATTTTACATAGTATCATCCACTTTTAATACAAGTCATTCCTTTCTATCATCAGTTTCATCATCTAAAAGTCCTTGATATCAGGTTTAATAAGGCTTGATCCAAGGCCAAGACGTCTAAGTCTTATTCAATAAAAAGCCATAATTAAAATTAAAAAAATTAAAGCGTAAAAAACTATTTACAATACCATAAATATGCAAAACAAACCAAATACCTTAAAAACGCTACTTATATTATTACTTATTAACAGTAACATATTAATTTATTGTAAAAAAAACGGATAGAAAGGATTATATAAGATTATTACTATTACAAATAAAAACGTAACTATTATATCGAATATATTAAAAGATACCTCGATTTTCCGGAATATATATGTTAAACTATATATATAGTTAAAAAAAAATTTTAAAATTTATTTATCGCTACTGCTACCTTAATTTAACCTTAATAAATATAAGGTTATACTTAATAAGGATTTAAATATATTTATTATAAATATAATATATATTAATATAAAAGAAAAAAATAATTATACCTTTATTTTAAAGTTATAATTAAATAAGAAGATAGTTATGTTAAGAAAACCGTATAAAGCCTTTAATATAAAAGAATTTAATACCCTTTTTACAAACAGTATATTATAACCCAAAATATATAATAAGGCACTCCATTAAGGCGCAATTATATTTAAATTTTATATGGTTTATAAAGTTAAGAAAAAGAATATATTAATATTATATAAAAAATTACGATTTATAATATATACTTTAATAATTTAACGTATTAACCAACGCCTAATATTAATTTTAATACCTATATTACAATAGTAAAATATAAAAGTAATAATTTAAAATATTATTATAACATATACATAATTTAAAACCTTTATGTAAAAGATAATATTGAACTGATGTGGTGCCACATTGCTAAGAGCAAGGGTATTATTATATAATTTTAAATTATAGGCCATATAAAGATCTAATATTCGTCGTATTCTTCTAATTAAATAGCCACAATTATTACCATTCAATTATGTATTTAATATAGATACATTTATTATTTTCCCATATTTATAACTTATAGTTTTATTTTACATATTTATCTTATATATCCTATCTGATTAATAAATTCTTATAATTCTTCTAAAGTATAATATTATCATCAACTATTTAAGACTTTTTACGAAGATTTAAACGTTGAAATAATATGTCATATTCTGTAAGAGATATTAATTCCTGTTTATTATAAATTATGGGAGTAATATAAAAAAAGGTACTAATATTATTTATATTATTGTAATAAAAATTTTTGAATTAAAATAATAGTAATTTTTTTAACCTTGCTAATTTATATTATTACTATTTAATAATATTAATTAATATTGATAAGTATGTATATAAATAAAAATAATAATAATAATAATAAAATAATAATAAATAAATTAATAATATTAAAATTGATATATTAAGATATTTAAAGAAGGAAGAATTTATCTAAGGCTAATTAGGTATAACGTATTTTTATATTTTTATAATAATAGATACCTAACTCCTTTATTTAGTAACGTCGGGTATCTTATCTCTTCCTTCTTTATCGGCAATAAAGGCACCTTATTATCAGTAAGGTGCCTTTATGTCAGTGTCACACAACCATCACTTTTTATAAAGAAATAGGTACTTTTTAAGCCTTTTAGGATTAGGTGGTGGTGTGGGAGCCATTATTAAAAAATAAAAGTGGGTAAAAAATAATATACGCAATTTTACGCGTTTATATTTTTAACGTTTATTTTTTTGCCCTACTATATATAACAAACCAAGATAGCAGTGTTATCAGAAGAGTACCACAAGCTTCGTTAGGCAAGATCATTCGTATCGTCTTATGATAGTCGAGAACTTTCCCAGGTAGTCCGAGGATGGAAAAGTATACGTAGGTAGGTGTTTAGTAATTCATCGCATGTTATATCAACTTATTCTCATGAGCTAGCGCGTGCGCCATAACAAAGATTGTTATAACTTCCAGCTCGTACTTCGGCTCTCGTAGTCTTTCTTACAAGGACCCATTCATATAGAAGTCTAAAGAAAACATATTGAACAACTACTTAATCTAACTATCCGATTTAGCTACAAGATAAAGCGTCCTTAACTAGCTATCAATGACCATTCAGAATCTCTTGAATACGGGCTCGTACCGTCTTTCCTTTGACATCTGGATACAACTCCTTGAAATCCAGGTATCCTAGATACGATGCGATCTCAGGAGTATTGTCTCCTCGAAGTCCCCATGAATCTATGTATTGATTCAGAAGGAGGTTAGACTTAGCAGTTGAATCACCGGGGTTCTTTTCTAGGGCAAGTCGCATCGAAGCAATGGTCTTGTGTACCTCGTCTGCGCTCATCTAAAGTGGTGTTATATTAACTTCGCTATTCGTAGGAAGCTTCTGGGTCCTCAGCCGTCTGACTTACATAATTTCTTGCGACCTTTTCTCCGCCGAGCTCCTCCAAGAGCTCCCTCATTTGTATTGCGCTGAGTGTCTCGGTATGCGCAAAGACCTTCTTGTTGAGGGTTCTTGGGTCGGCAATAATTTTTGCTACATACGTTCCGATGTCTGGAAAGTTTGTATAGGCCATGGGTACCGATCCGTCGCCAGGAATTATGTCGAGCACTCTGTTACATACGTGATCTGTTCGGCCTGAAGGTATCGCCGGTACTGATTGGTCTATCCACCACCCGATATCTATCACGGTGTATGGTAAATACAGGCGTTGAATAGCCGCAAGGATATCATCTTTCTATGGCCATGGTCAGTTTCGCACCAAAACCACTCTTATTACGGAAACGTACCTCGTCATACATATCCATTACGCCTCTTGGCGCTGGTGTGCTAAAGTTGGATGGCACAAATCTCTTTACGCCAGCTTGCTTCGCTGCCTCGACCAGAGGTATCTGATCACCCAGCCTGGGGAATGCTATGCACGATATTATTATATCAATGCCTGTAACCGCCTTAACAAGGTCATCCTTCGGACCGTTCAAGTCTGCATCTACGATGCGAATGCCGCGGCTTTTGAGTTCATTCTTGGCCTCGCTATTGATAGATGTAGGCCGTGCAAGAACAGTAATATCCTGAGGATGCTAGTTAGCCAACTAGAAAATAATCATTGTATGAGAGAGTCAAACAAATTGTGTCTCGGAAGCTAGCAACCCGTTCAATACTGAGCTTCCCGTTCGACCAGTAGCACCTACTATGCCAACACTGATTGACGTAGACATATTTGCTGGGTTCGAAGTCGTTGGTATTAGACAAGATGAGAAAAATAAGTATTACGTATCAATATAATTCTAGGATTCTTTTTGACCTTCTCTGTCCTTTATATTCGCTATTTAATTAATGTCTTGCTTGTGCGTTAAGACGATCAAACCACCTACCTACGTATGCCAACCCCTTAATTAATAAGCAGCACGAGAAAGCTCACGCAGGGCATTTGTCAGCAAGACGGTGTAAGTTGGGTAACAAGCAGTGTATTTTCAATCAATAAAGTTATGAATGATAGAATAACACCCCGACCATGATACGCAATGAATGAAGATGAAAAAGATAGCCTCGGTACGAAGTAGTTCAACAACGATTCCGCCCAGACCCATATCATCGATTCATCAACGACAAGATCAATTAATCATATATTCCAAATGCCTCGAGGGAAATGGCACGGATTAAGTGTTCGCGAATTCCATGAATTATCTATGGAAAGGCCAATATCTCCGTCGTAAATAGTAACAACCATACCAGTATCGTTAACAGGTAGAGTAACTACAAGAAGAGAAAATACGTCACTACCTGAGAGGTAGACTATGTGGAGTAATCCAAGCTGTCCTCGTGAAGAGTCCGTAATGTCCAACTGGTAAGTCTAATACATAGCATAGCCCTGGACGAATGAATTGCCAGTACTAAAAAGGACCCAGAATATGGCGTAGGTAGTAAATCAACTTACTCCAAAGGCGCAGATTGTTTGGCCTGTAATCCAATCGCCATCTTTGCCGGTCAGGCTTGCAACTATATTTGCAACTTCAGACGCTGTTCCTATTCTGTTTTCAACCGCCGTCAGAATCCTCTGGAGTTCCACGAGATCTTTTGGGATATTGTCTAGCATGTCGCTCTGGAAGGGCCCCGGATTTACGCAGTTCGCCGTTGTTCCATTACTACCTCTAACTCGTGGGCCCATGTCCGAGTCAACCCCTCTAGTGCCGCCTTCGAGGAACCGTAGAGGCAAATTTCTTGAAGCCACCTCTTTAAGCGACGGAACCGATGCTGATATTACGTCCGTAGCTAGGTAGGTATTCACATAGGGTAGGACAGCCCGAGTCAATAGAAATGAACGATGCTTATAAGAAGATCATACTGTTGCTCCTCGGCGCGCGAGCTCCACTGTGATTCCTTTCCCGATACCCCTAGATGCTCCGGCCACGATAGCAACCTTGTTAGAAAGCGGAAGATTAAGTTATGACATTTTAGGGACTCTAGATAGGTAGCTATGCTTTTCTAGGTTGGTTTGGACTGTTTAGAGAAAGACTTTCGTCCTGCTAAAGCCAGCTTAGATTGCCTCACCTTCAAATATACGCTTTAGAAAAGATTGCCGTCATAAATATACACAAGCTATGTCTACACACACACACATATATATATATATACTCGTTACGCCGGTCTCAAATCTTCTATGTATCCAAGCATATCCCGTTTCTCGTCACATACGCGTGCAAATTCCAGTAGTAGTCTCCAAACATAAAGCAACATGTCTTCCCTCCTGAGCACCTTTGAGCTCCAAGACCTACCTTCCTCAGAAATAAAGCGCGCGGACACGTCGCCTTTTCCATCCCGAGTAAAATAATCGAGGATGGCGTATAGATCCTGAAAGGTGTTATCCATAGGAGCAAAATGTAGCCACGGAACCAGACGGTCGTCATGCCACTCTGCGTATAAGGTAGCCTTGAGCGGCAGGGATGTTGACAGCAGAAAACCTCTAAATCTCGCACTGAAACTGTTCCCGTCGACATCGGGCATGAACTTATACTTATATTGCTCCTTCATGGGAATGCTCTGTACTTCAGAGAAGTAAGGCTGGACATAAGTGCAGTTGGAATCCTCTGGAAAGCAGAGGAGATTTACAAAACCAGCGTTAGAAAACTCTTGCAACCAAGTGCCAACGGTTCCCTCGCGCCGTCGCGGGAAGTCGTACTTCTGCATTGGTGGCATCTCAAACGTCATGGCGCGGGAACTGCGCTCCTCTATTCCCGACACGGTTGTTCCGTTTAGCATTTCTATAAGCCGATGCCGCTGGAAATGAAACCAGTTCTCTTTTTTATTTCGACCCCCAGATGCGACACCCCGCCATACGACGCCGTTAGTCTTCTTCCTCCAAGACGGCCCGTGAGTATCCCCGCCGGAATAGAGGGGGTCGTTTGTCAAGTACATAGCTCCAGGGATAAGTATCTCGTTATTTACAGGTAGCTTGCATCCACCGAACAATGGGATAAGCTCTTTACTCGTTGACATCGTCAGGGGCTCAACAAATGTGCCGTGCATGCCACGGAGGTGGGGCTGGACGCAGGGATCCGTGGCGGCCGTAAAGTTACGGACATATCCTTTGTACGAGTACTCAGGTTCCCAGTCTTCTGGGAACACAGGCGGCTCCTCCAAATTTTGAATTGGTGTCACATTACGTGATGGAGAATCGGGAGCGCAAGCCACTCGTGTGAGGTCCCAGTAACTTCCTCCAAGCCAATTCGGAGTATAAGGTGAAGCATCGTTGGCTTTAGCATCGACCTTAGCAAGGCCGCTATATTTCGTCACCACTTCGCCGAGAGGCTTTGCCGAGCGGCTTGCCTGTTCTTTCTCCATCAGACTCGCCACGTCTTCCCAAGGAACAATCAGCCGAGATTCGTCCATATAATTAATAGGCATATCGACGTCCGGCAACCACGGCGCAGCCTCGGCCACCAAGCCAGTCCATAATTGCAGCCAAGGAACCTTGCCTTGTGTGTTGCCTATACCGCTGGCGACGCCTTCGCGGACGCGTACGACATAATCCCACGACGCGGCTCGTTCGGCAGTGGTCCGGGGATCGAGGCCCCAGAATGGCGCAATGTCAGCATATATCCTATCGAAGAAAGACTCGACAATGATCGCCTCGTGTTCTGTCGCATACTTGAACCAGGCATCAAACCCCGGAGGAGGATGTCGCCCTCGCCGCTCGCGATAGCGGGCTGCAGCTGTGGGAAGGTCGAAGCTTCGCTGCTTCAGCAAGTTCTCGTGGAAATTATGCGCATCGCTGATAAGTTGATCAATGGGATGGTTCGCTGTGCGATTCCAAAAGTATTCGAAGTAATGGGATCCAGTATTACGGAGAAAGCCCTCAGGACGGCGGAACAAGAAGATACCGGACAAGGTTATAGAGACGATAAAGGCGACAGCAGCATAGCGAAGGATAGATTGCCATCTTAGAGCGCAGATGCGGCTGTCTGGGAGGCTAGCTAGCCTGTCGCGAATGTTATGGGTGCTTAACATCGAAACTTGTCGATATGGGAGAAGTTTTTTCTCTTTCGGTATTATTTCCCACTATCTCGACTAATTAATCAAAATAGGTATAGATCTGGTATACCTCATGATGATGGCTACAGATGGAAGCGAAGCGAAGCGAAGCAATTCAACAAGCCGAAACAATGTATAAGATGGCCAGGAGGAATATTTCGTGTGGTGAATCAAGAGGCACGAAAATCTCTAGCTCTCATTAACGCGACTCCTCGATGCCACCCCTAGTCGCAGTAACCCGTCAGCCAGATTACATGTCGCTCGCTATTGTAACTATTACTGACTATGATGTTGGTCTAGCCCAGGACAGACTTTCGAGCAGCACCAATCGAGCAGGAGAGTTGTGGTCTTGGCTGATTCCTTTACCCCAACTTCGTGATAAAGAGGCATGTACTCACTACACTCGACGAGCTCAAAGCTTGCCGATCGTCGATGAGATAGCGAATAATCATTAGGTACTCGGTACAAAACCATTGGATCGGGCGAAGCGAGAGGGATGGGAACCATGTTGAAGTAACCTATTTTAGGATTAGCCAGTCGCCATCTCCGCAGGCTTCTCTCATACGTTCCTTGTTGCCTTAGCTGCCCAGCCAGTTGTATGCTGCCGTTTAGCTATTTGCTCTCCACTCACTTGTCTAATCGCGGTGACGGAACAGGGGTCTTCGAGAAGAACTCCCTTCATTCAAGCATACCAGACAAACATACCAGATAACTCGCGAATTAGGTCTTAGAAGCATATCAGGGTCAATTATTTAAGGCCCAGTGGTATCATAAAGAACAAAGTATGACGGGACGCATATGTACAAGGTACTTGGTTCATATCAAACTTATTGAGCATTCCGGCATTCAAAGTACTCATTTCTTCAGTGTCCATTTACAGTAATTACCTGTTATGTTTATTTTAAGTTTTAAGCCTCGTATAGTAGAGTTCGCTCAAGACTGTCAGGGGTATGCATTATTGGTAATAAGCTGTTGGGGTCATGATAAGTTCGTCTGAATTCTCAACGCAAGGTATAGTTTACCGATTCTTTTTTTTAAAAAGTATTTTGTTTAACTTAGTGGAGTTGCTAGATATATGTATGTCGGAATTTTAGCTATTAGACAGCCAACTAAATTAATATCAAGGTCGAGCCAAGCTAAAGTCCAAAATGCTAGGTCCTCAAGTCTGTGATACCCCTTTTCTTTTGTAAAAATTCGGTCTCTTTGTCCTTTCGCCATTGACAACTTTCCGCAAATTCACATGACCTACACTTATAAGTTTCTTCGATGGAAACACCCTCAGCATCCCTCTCGCCGCGCCACCACTTGAAGTTCTGTCTAAGGTACCCCTCTAAAGCCTCGGGATCGTTAGGAAACGAATTGTTACCGAGAATGCGACAGTCCTCCCTATGGCGATACTGGACAGCGAGAAGTTCGCCGATAGTGGCGGCGCCCTGCGGGAAGGTTTCGCGGAGTTCGGACTGCAATAGCGGAAGCATCTGTGTAATGGATCGATATCTAATCAGATCCTGAGGAAGCAGATTTGAAGATGGATCCGGCCAATCTGTATCACACCCGCTACGCGTAGAACGAGACGACGAAGCACCTCCAACGTCCGAATCCGCGTCGTAGAATATTTCATCGTGTAGGTCGCCTACCTGAGCCATGAAAGCATCAGAGAATAAGGCATCGGCTGTCAGGCCATATCTATCCAAAATAGCAGTAAAATCTACCGCGCCAGAGGCCATTTCGCCTAAAAGTCGATGGTACAAGAATAGCTGGACCCTGGCGGGCCTGAGCGCGGCGCCAGTAGGCAGTCTACCCGAGCCTCTTGTTTTGACATCAGTCAAGTAAAACTTTTTACGGGGCGGTTCCAAAAAGTCTGCCATGGACGTCTGCTGTTTTGGGTAGCTTGTGGCGAAGCCCTTGGATGATTCGGATTGGCTGAGCTCTTGCTCAAATGCGGCATTCGGACTATCGTGGCTCACTTCGTCTATGATGCCGTTTACGACTTGACCTTCGATGATCCCCCATACTTCAAGCTCTCTAGTCATACCAACATCCCGGAGAGTGCGGAGGCCCTGGATGACGTTCCATATTCGCAATGCAAACGCCTCTTCTTTGGTGTTAATGCTGACTTGGACCGTGGTGTGTACCTGATCCTCTAAGGTTTGATGGACACGAGTGCCACCCCGCATCGCCGCCGTTCTCGTCTTCTTCCCCCCGGGTAACAGGGTAAGCGTGTACCAATACTGTAGCTCGCACCAAGCACCAGAAGCTAAGTCGGAGACTGTAAGCGGCTTTTTGGGAAAGGAACGGAAACGCTGCATGGGAGAAGGGGCATCTTTTGGAGGCTGGGCAGGTTCTAATTTGGGCGTTGTATTAGATCTGGGATCGGATAATATACTACTAACTAGGCGCTAGTAGTTAGTTAGACGTGCCATGTACTAAATACGAGCATATATAGGTATGTTTCTCAGAGAACTCACGATCTGGATATTGGACACCGCCTAATGGCAAAGGCGATGTTACACGCGGGTTCGAGTTGAGGGATTCGTGAGCAGCCGTGGACTGTTCGATTTTAGTGGGAAGGGTACCGTTGGGGCGAGTACACAAACTCGACGCGCGGTACTTATCATCTTTGGCAAGCGGCACGGGCGGAATAGACAAGCTACTAGCAGTCGTTATAGTAGTAGTTGTAGTAGTGCTAGTGGGTGAGGCGACGGGAGAAACGACGGGCGAGACGAATTGCGTATAATCGTGAGCGGTAGTTGTAGTGTTGCTAAGCGATGATGTGTTATTCCCCAGGTCCTCCAGGAGCTTATTTACAATATCTTCCTCTCCTATCGAAAAGTCAGATCCGTAGTCGCTCTCGCCGCCGTCGTCCAAGGTGGCGGCAGCTGGGGGAGCCATGGATATCAGCTATTCGGCCAGCAGACCATCACGATGTATTAGGCGTTAAAGTAAAGTGATATATAAGCTATCAGCTAGCCCAGTTGTAGCATGGGAAGTAGAAGTCGAGTCATGATCGACTCAAATTATTTTAAGATGTTGACGATATTTAGAGTCAACAACACATTGATGATTTGAATAGGTAACCTATTAGGTTAGGTACCTAGTTACCTTTTTGATGATATCTCGGATACCTACAATGTAGTACCTAAAGTGTGGGGCCCCCAGGCCCTTGACGCGCTAAAGCAGCCGCGTTATCACATGGCAACTACACAGCAGGTAACTCTCAATTGTTACAACTCGTTTAGATCTCAAGTTTGATCCAACTATTTTTCAACTCGCTTATCCTTTAGAATTAAGTAGCCTTGTTGCCTATATTACGTTGATGCCTAGAGATTATATCGCCACTTAAACTACACATCCACTTGTGCATCGAGCCATACTAGACTCTCAAACAAAACGCAGCTGAGCATTTAGGCAGCAAGATGATACAAAGCGACTGAAATTCCTCCTTCGAGTTCAGATGCAATAACCCTAGCTAATCAGCAGTTTCATTGGGAGCGTTTCGCAGTTGTCTTCATTTCGCCCCTTTTTTTCATATTTTATCGTCAACCAGTTGGCTACCTGGGTCTATATGGGTATCTCTTGGCAGGCTCCTACTCCTATGGCCACTTAAACACGTCGACCCGATAGTAACCCGACCTTGACAAGAGGATTACAACCAATCTAAACAATGGACATTATTCACCGTGGTCATATGTTCCAATTAGACCTAGATGGAAACCCTGTTGCAAAATCTCCCTCTGGCGGGGCAAGAAGCCTTGAAAATCTACCACCAGAAATACATCTCCTGATCAGTCGACATCTCACGTATCCCGACGCCTTATCTCTAAAGCACGCCAGTAGATATTTTTACTGCCTTGTTGATACCGGGCTTAAGCTCAAGGTAGATTGGCTGATCGAGCGTCGGAGCTTGCACTTAGAGTGTCCAAACGATCGTCGCTGCGACCTAGGAAGCGACTTGAAGTTCTGCAGAGGTAGCGTCAGGTAAGGACTGTGCGGCGTACTTGAGGACGAATATGCCGAGGCAGCAGCCTTGTATCGTCCTGGGTGAATAAACGGCGTTGATAAGTGGCGTTACTAAATATCGATCTCAGGTTACTCATGCAGCGGCGCCGCGAACACGCAGAATGTGAATCCCGTCCCGGTTTAGGGTGTCTCGTATATGGGACGGCAAAATGTGCACATCGGCGCCAGCTGAGATGGCGCGTCAAGCGATGGCTCCGTTCCCGTCTTACTATTGAACTCTGGTGGTTTCTGGTACCCTTAGTTCCCGTTCTTTTAGGATGTCTATGGGTAGCAGAATTTGCAAGATGGCGCGTCGAAGAATGAATTGGATTCAGCGGGTTAGGCATTATGATACTGAAATGACTATTTGTCTATCTTATATCATTTCAAAGTTTTGACAGTTAAGGAGCTAACACAAATTTATACATTGTCCCTTTGATATTCTACACCAGACCTGAAGCCACCTCGTTATCTTAATATATGCCGAGTCATCTCTGGATTTAATATCCGGGGATCAAGGGCGTAATAGATACTTGACCTCGTGAATATCATAGATAGATTCTAGGTTGATAGAGGGATTTCCGATGGCTCATTATACGAGGCTACTCAAGTTGACTCAATGTCTTCATATCACTCACGTTCATGAATAGGGAGCGCATTGCACCGTACGAATAAACAGTAAATATATTATCACGCACATGGCATGTTTTCCAACCTGAAATTTTAGATACACGTTCCCACTCAAACCTGCGATTTATACTGTAATTACCTGATATACCTTGATTCGGTTTATATACAGTGACTTGCACTTTCATTCCTAATTAGGTATATTGCTAACAACTCCAAGACTCTCGCCTGCTACGCCATCATGTCTTCAACCAGGCACTGGTTGGACAAAGTCTACCTTGTGTATTTCCTCATCCATCTGCCCGTCTTGTTCTGTAAGTATACGATAAAATACTTTCACTTCTTGTTTCTGTTAAATTATTTCAATAAAAGTCAAAGTTTTCCAAATGAATATTACAATTTCTAGCAACATGACAGCCATATACCATATGCTCCTCCAGCTTATGATCCTCTCATCTAATATCCGCAGGTGTTGACCTCGTACCCCTCTACCCGATATCTCTCTGGGTACCACCCTCGTCTCCATTTCACTTTCTATACGAGTTGCGGGTCTATTATATAGATACATACAACGATCAGTTCTTCGCACCGCCGCCGGCAACCATCCCGAGCTTCTTCCCACTATTCGCTTTCCTAGAGCTTGTCTTCCATCTACCGGTGTCGCTATGGGCAGTCCGTGCGCTCTTTAGCGGCGGACTGAACGGTAATGCCGAATTGCTACTCCTCGTATACGGAATCGAGACAGCATTGACTACCGCGACCTGCATGTACGAGGCATTCCTCTGGGACCCAGCCGTGGTGACCGCTGAGCAAAAGGCAGTACTACTAGGTGGCCTATACGGAGGGTATCTTGCCATTGGTAAGTTCGATATGAATTAATTGGGTGTGCCTAAGGCATACTAACTGTAGGATAGCCGTCCTGCTGACTGTCGATATGTATACACGTCTGCTGAAACGTGTCAACTCGCTTGATGCTAGGAAGAAAGTTCAGTAGTATTCAGTCTAAATCCGAAACGCGAGATGTTAATGCCATGAGTGGGCATTGCGGAATAGAGAATATGGGTATTGGCATTGTTTCATCAATTGTAGCTACCTTTCCCTTCGTTTGGTATCATTGCCGTAACTATATTTTAATACAACCGATAGCCCCCAATGTCATACATAGCGACGTGCACAGTTCCCCGTCGTCCTCATAATATTTACAAGATTCCATAAATTTCCACGTCGAAGAGCTATGCTAAACGACTTCAATCCATTCTTTTTGAGTATCCCCATCCATTACCTACGCCGTTTAACCCGTAAGCTAAAGGCGTAGCACCGCCGAGGCCGAGGCCGCGACCCTTCAGTCGCTTAGGCAGGATGATGCCAAAGAAATAAACGCCGGAAACCAAAACGCCGGCAATGAATGACACGAGGGCATAAAATACGGTGCTAGCATAGATATGCCCACCCATGCCCTGCCACTCGACTTTACCCTCGGTCTTGGGAAGTGCTGGGGTTGGGAACCACCTAACGCTGAAACTTAGGGGTAGAGGATCGCCAATGACCAGTCTCTTAGTAAAGCTCCCATCCATATGGCTAAGCGGGCTCGTGCTGTATGCGGCGCCGCTATCTAGAACGCCGCTGTCGTGAGGATGGATGTGATGCTTTGGTGTGCTGTGTAGTAGGATATTGAGATGGGTGCTGATATGCAGATGGCTAAGCTGCAAAGTACCGGCCAAGGCAAATACGAGCGGTATATACTCTTGCTCATACGGCTTCTCGCCGACCATCTCAATATGGGCAGGAGGCCGAGCAGGAAGACGACAAGCAAGGGGCGCGTCGCTGTGGATATAGAATTCCAGCAGATGGAAAAAAGGGTCGTCTATCATAGAGATGGTACAGTTCATCTCGTCTTCGACGCCGTAACCGAACTCGAGAGACTTGCCGGTCTCGTTGCAGGTTGGAAAAGGGATCCATTGTATCTCGTCCTTGGCGTTCTGGATATGTTCGCCGGTCTCTCTGAAGACGTTGGGTCAGCAAGTGCCGGTTGGATCGCGCGCAAATAAACTTACACGCTCCTATTCATGCATTCGACGGCGATCGGTGCGCCATAGTGGTAAGATGGCAGAACGCCTTCTTTGAGACTGGCGCTCGCTGCGACTATGGAGACTACGGGGAAGAAGAGCGGCAACGCGCTTAAGATCAAGCGCGCAATTGAAGGCATAGTTCGATTTGCCTCGGTATTAATGTTTTAACCGTCGAAAGGACATGTCGAGTTTTAGACTAACGGCTGTCTACGCCTATCGAACGAATATAGAAATCATAGAAATGAACGAAAGACAAAGGGCTAACTTATGTATTATTAGCCTTAGGTACGTGTAGACGAAAACCTGGTCAAATTGTTGATTGCGTTGCATTAAAACGAACGATTCGCTACTGCGGACAGGGAGCTACTACATACTACATACATATGTATGAGTTTAATAGGTAGTCTTATCGATAGATATGTATCCATCCGCTTACATGCATACACTTTAGGGACTAATGCAGTAAAAGTAGTACGTACTCGAGACTCTAAACGCTAACACGCCTCCTGGTTTAAGGATCCGCATCGTGTCTGGAGGTTTATTAGAAATAATTATCCCATGTTATCTTCACCAAGGACATACTTGCTAATACGGCTTCCGGCTTTGGGATTACGTGCATAGCAAAATTGAGGGTTACATGAGTGGAAGACTCTTCTAGAAAGTCGGAATGCTATTGGAATAGTTAGGTTAAGTATCAACTGTTACAAATACAGTCGTGATTGAACAAACCTGAGCATCAACGACAGCCGTCTCAAGATTTGTCCAGTTATACCCGGTAGCACGCCTCTTCAATATATTCACAAAATTTTGATTGAAGTCGGCACAAACCACCTTGCTCTTTAGCAGCAATTTAGAGTCAATGTGGTCCTGCAAGTGCGCCACGATAGGACCGGTTCCGCAAGCATTATCGAGTAGTGTAAAAGGCTCGCTTGTCGACTCATCGAAGCCTGCTTGTGTGAGCCATTGATTTATGGAAAAACTTTTCAATAATCTCAACTCTAGCGAGTGAGTCTTTAACAATACCTCACAGCATGCCTAGATTTGCCTAGAATGTAATAGATTGCTAGTTTTCTCAACTAGGAAATTTGAATCGATCACCTACACCAGAGTTGAGTTATGCGTGCCTCGCGGTATATTTGTGCATCTAGAGAACGCCACGGAAACATGCTCCGCGGGATCCTGTAGCTACCACCAATGCTGCCTAGCCAACTCTCCATAGACACTAACCGGCGTCGTAATGCTGCTACTAGAACATCCCCGTATCTTGTGATTCGACTGCACCACCGACAAAAACTCGCTTCGGCCAAACCAGGTCTGACCTTGCTAACACATTGAATGCATAGTATTCGTATACTAGAATGCCGAGACGCCTATTACCACTTTCTTTTTAACCCCATTGTATAGAGCCTTGCTATTCAAACACCCGGCACATATCAAGCCGCCTAATATCTCGAGCTTCCAAATTCCGAGTAATACGTCATACTAGGATTGCCCTTTCTCAATAGAAACCCATACTCCTATTAGCTATTGGCGATACGACGAAACCCTCCACAGCTCGCTTTATTTCTTTCACACTCCGCGTAATATCTCTCATGTCTGCACCGCCCTCGTTGCTAGTTCGTAAGTTCGTAGACACCCAATTTTCGCATTCCAGAATCAAGTCGTTAATCCAAGGTTCTAGCCTCGCCTCTGGGCGACCATTCCTATTTAAATCGCGGATCCATTGACTGACAGCAAACGTAATCCATTCGACGATTCTTACGCGACCAGGGCCCCGAAAGGGTACTTCCTGTGCCTCGAACATTTGTTCAAGGACGCGAACCACCAGGTCGAAGCTCACTCCTAAATTAAGGAAGACGATTACCGGCCAGTTGACATCTGCGGCGATTCTTCTATCCTGTGCGTTCTCAAAGGCGTAGCGACAGATCTCCGGTAAGAGGGTAGGGACGGGGAATATGAAAGAGTCGTTGGAAGAGCGGTGACAGATGTCTTGAATCTGGCCGACGAGCACTTCGTACGGTTGAGGAGGTGGATCTCCTCCCTGTGCTCCACGCTTGCGGCGCTCTGCGTCATATGCTGACCACTGTTCCGCGACGTTTTCGTGAGTTTGCTGAATAAGGTTGCTCCACGTCTGAGCGATGGTGGTGGAGTTTCGAAAGTCGGCAACGTGGTAGATAAGAAGGCAGAGATCGTAGTAACCGGCTTGGTCGGCGTAGCCGTTGAAGAGCTAGTTAATAGATGTTAGCGACTCCGAAAACGATTTATAACTCTAAAATAGCATGCACATCTACGTGTAGAAAAATACTCACTTCGGAGAGAGGTTGAATCTGGCCATCCAAGGTCTTCTCGATATCTGGTAGGCGTTCCGCCAGGATTCTGCTATCCACCCTCAGCCTCTCTAATAAATCGTCCTGGATGTGAGCCACCTCGAGAAGCTCTGTCACCTCGTGATTGAGGAGCTGCTGTTCTTGCCGGCTAACGCCAGCGGTCATAACACTGGCGTTGGTCTTCGCTTTGCTTAGCAGGGTAAGACGATCTTTAATAGAAATTGGGAAGTCAGATTGCACGAGTTCAGCCTGGACCTTGGCAGCGTCGAAGTACCGCTTGCGCATGGTGTAAAACCTGCAAAGGAGGTCTGCATGCTCAACATCCTTGGAAGCTAGACGGCGGAGGAAGGTCGTGACATGCGGCGAGTCGATGCTAAGAAGGCGATCGGTCCACCCCTGCTGTATATACCAATCATATAGGTCAAAATGGAAAACTTCGTCTGACGAGCTGCTGACGACATCATAAGCCTCTGCGCGCTTGGTTGCTATCAGTGTCGGTTTTCCGTCGATCGTTTCGGGCTCCCGGCCGGAGGCGGCGTCGAGATCCTGGAGAACGTGATGAATTAAGCCATAGCAGACTTTGCGCTGGTCAAATAATTTTGCCCTTGGGTCGCCGACGGGCTTACCATCGTTAACCCAGGAAAGCGCAGCGTTGCCCCGATCCTTTTCGCTAGCAACGACAAGACAGAGTTGAATAGCTCCGGCGTAGTATCTCAAGCCGACATATTGCTCGATCGCATACTCTAGGTTCGCTTGCGTGAGGCTTTTCGCAACTTTCTGAAACAGCCTCAGGCTCTCGTGAAGAAGTGTACGGGAGGTGTTTGGATTGAGAGACGGTTCAGACGCCCTTTTTAATTGCTCCTGGGCCTTAAATATGACTACGTCGTCGGGGCTGCAAAAGCTGCCGCATTTGCGACGTAGCGCATCCGCTACGGTCTCGACGTTGGATCCGTTCTCGATGTTTCGATTTACAATGGCCTTAACGAGAACCTTGGCGAGTTCCTTTCCATTGTCCTGAGAGAATAGTTGCTCGTACGTAAGATCGCGAAGCTGCTGCCGCGACGTGTCGTCGAGACGAGCGAATATATCCGTAACTCGCTCGTCGAACAGGGTCGTAACGAAAGATATGCCTTCGGTAATACCCATCATCAACGTCTCCAGGGCACGCATAGCTTGGTGCTCGCCCTGGAAGCCGAGTTCCTCCTGTTTGCTTCCAGCTCTGCGTAAATCCGCGGGACCCGAGAGACCTTGGATAAACGACCGGTTCGCATCTAGAAAACTTCTCAGACCCTCTACGCTCGCCTGAACTTCCTTTAACTTATCGGTCGAAACGACGCTGGTTATCGCTAGCGCGCCGCTCGCATCGGTCCCCAATCCGACGACTCTCGAGTTCCATAATAATCGGACGAGCCGGCTGAGATATAGAGTTAAGGCTGCGTGTCGAGTCGAAGGCTGGACCATTTCAACCGTCGCCGGCTGTCCATCCTGCTCGGGAAGTCTAGGGTTCCCGCCGAAGTTGATATAGACTTGCTTTGCTCGGTCTTGGGTTGCTTGGTCGATCGCGCCACGGGCTATCCCAGGACGCCCGTTATCTCCTTGGCGACACGCAACGGCCAGTGCAGCCGTGATAGTCTCGACATGGCCATAAGCACTGCGAAACTTGCTCACTTCGGTCTTTACACCTTCCTCCCCTGCTGCAGCCCTAATAGCCGAGGCGAAAATGTCCACCAGTCTTCTACGACGCACCAAATGTATTCCCGTATTTGTTAGAATAGCAAACTCGCTACCGTTCGGATCATCGAATTGGACCGCTAATTCGTTACCAAAGCCTTGAGGTTGGTTGGTCGCAGCGAAAGACTTAGTAACAAGACCGACATCTTCAGCTCTACTACCAATTTCGATCCAGTTGGCATGCTCATAGTATCGCATGTTCTGAGTCTGGCGCCCATGGCTGATCCGCCCGCTGTCCGGGGCCGACATAAATAAAAGATCGCTGTTGGGTTGTTCCGTTTTAGATACAAAATCAAGAAAGTAGCCCGGAGCGAAGCGGATTCCTCGCCGACTCCTCTCGAGAGACTTTGCGTGTATATCGACCTGGTCAGCAAGGCCCCCGAACCGGTCGACCCTAGACCTCCGTTGGTCAGTCGGAGGGAATTTGATGGATTGGAGCTGCATGCTCTGAGGCGCCTGGTTCGAAGAACCCAACATGTAGGAGGCAGCGCTGGTAGCGCTCATGAAGAGACGGCATCCCGTATTTGTCAGGGCCATAAGGTGAACCTTGAAATCTTCGACGGCAGAGATGGGACTGATCGACACGATATCGATGCGCTCGTTGAGCAGAGGCGACACAACGCTAAGAACGTGGGCGATATCACGCAAAAAATCATCCTTGGTCTTTTCGATAACTTTGGTGAGCTTGTTCGGCGGCTCCATGTGATAAGTGCGCACGGTCGACGTGTTAGAAAGGGAGTAGAGAAGATTTCTACTGTCATCCACGACAATATCCACTATGTGCTCATTCGTAACCTTGCCCCAGAGGATTTGTGACGGGTTAGGGACTGCGGCAGTCCATGGGCGATACGTATGGTTGATCTTCTCCGTCCTGTTGGTAAACCATTTCTCTTCTTGTTGGTACTTGAGCTCATAAATATCGCTATCCGACTGGCCGGAGAAAAAGATGCGGCCGTCCGCGGAACCGGCGATAACGCGCGCCTCTGTACCTTTTAGGGGTAACGACATCTTCGTACCGTAGAGATCAATACTCTTGGCGCCGCCTGGAGCATCTTTGGCCGCGACTCCCAAGAGGAATATCTCCGAGGTCGTAGCTACAACTAATATGTGCGTGATGACCTTATTGAATACGTCGGGCTTGGGGGCGACGAGCTTCACGGCGGTGATGCTATGTTGGCTGTCTTCGTAACCAGTAAGCTCCGGGTTGGGGTGGGTGTAATCCCAGAGGTAGAGACAGTTGTCAATTGTCACCCAGGCGTGATTCAGCTCGGCGAACAGCCCCATCATCGTGGATACTTCGGCCCTGTTATACTGTTCGAGAACGTTTTGAGGAATGGGATACATATTTGTCTTCTGGAAAGGTGCCCAGGCGGAGTCGTCCCGAGTGACGTCGTAGTCGGAGGATATTTCTGCGGTAGGTGTGTTCTTTAGAACTTAACTTGTTAATAGGGATGTATAAGATATTACTCACGTCTACAGTAGGAATCAAGCTGTGGATAATCGCCATCTTTAGCCAGAGCATTGTTAATATAGGATGCAGCCTTAGCTAATGGAGGTTGAGGAGTCATGTTTTGAGCTTGCAGTCCTGCTCGTATGATCTGCTCTTCGGCGGGCTGGGTGGGAGCATTAAGCCCGAGACCGTGATCTTGACTGAATCTTGCGACCTCACCGCCAGGGGCTGAATTATCCCGAAATAGGCGGCGACGAACCGGATCTTGCTGGGCGTTGAAGCGCGATGCGATAGCAGGAGTATGCAAGAAAGCGCCGGGCAGTGCGTGAGACGGGGTCTGCGGAAAAGCCATGGCGATGATTCGTATGCGTATGCGTATGCGCCCGAATATAATAAATCAGGCGCGGCAACGAGGGAGGATGGGATTGGTCAATCAGTATCGAAAGGAGAGAGCCAATGCAGGCGGGCAAGGCACCGAGCTGCTATCGGATCATCAATGGCAACGTCGAAGCCTGGTTCCTTCTAGAATGCTAACAGACGAGGGCGCAGGAAGATGGGAGAAGGGAACCACGGTTATACTCCCTCTTTATAAATTCCGTCCCCAAGTCCCCAAAGTTCCCAATGTAAGAGGAGCTTATCTTGGAAAAAAGAGAGCTATCAGCTATCAGCTGTCAGCTTTGGACGGGACTTAGTTTTAAGATGAAGTATTAGAGGGAGAGGGAGAGGGAGAGGGAGAAAAAGGCTGGAGTTGGAAATATGTTTAGCTTATTTTTCGAAATTCGAAAGCGGGAGCTTTGACGACACGCGCTTCAAGTTTCGTTGCTTGGGAGGTTGTAGCTTTGTCCATTTTTTTCCCTTGTCGCGACTTAATCGTTCTAATCCCAATCAAGCTTCAAGCTGGGTTAATAAGTGGAACTTCCTGCTGAGTACCTAACCTACCTACGTATGTACCTAGGTACTACATACATGGATGTACCATACTTTAAGCAGGTATCTAGGTACTCTCACAAGCAAACAGCAGCATCATAAATCTTTGACATTCACTTAGCACAATGCCATTTACGACATCAATAAAATAAACAACCTCTAGGTACCTTGTGTTACCATAACATAAACTTCTGGCTTTGACCTAACAGCTACCTACCTACATGTATCCAAGGTTAGAGGTAGCTAATACTTATAAATAGCTATAGTGACTAAATAATCATCTCATGTTGAAAAATTAAAGGTTAGCGCAGGCTAGTAAACCATTGAATACATAGGTATATCAATAGGGTAATGACGTATTTGTTCCAAGAGAATAAGCTTACACGTAATAAAAAATAAGCCATCTCCGAGAGCGAAAAAGAATAATATCAAGTCAAGTGTGAATCAGATACCTAAAGTACGATGCCAACCATATCTTTACCTCTATAAATACAGGCAGCTCCAACAGCAACTCTTTCCGTAATTAGCACTATACCAAGTCTACGGCTATTTCTTTTTTGTTCCTGGAGAGCTTTGCCTCGGGCTTCATCATTCCCTCTTGGCGTTTCGGGCTGCTTTCTTTAGATAGCGGTCCCGGATATCCATTTCCATCTTCAGGTTGACCCAGATGCAAAGCCAGTGACCAACGCCAAGGGTATTCTCGATAACCCAAGCCATCAGCGCATGGCTCCAATGCGGCGTGTAAGTATATGCCACGCTTTGCCAGCCTCCTAGTCCCACCTTGCCTAGAGCAGCTCGCACAAATTGTTTCTGGCTAGGGATAAGTGCGCTAGCCCGTCGTACCTTGCTCATTGCTGTCGTGACAAGGTAACTGAGGCAGAGTTGGACGTCGACGTTGCTCGGCTTGAGCTCGGCCGCAAGAGCAGAAGACCAATGCTGTAGGAATGCCTTGCTACCCGAGTAGGTGGCCAAATAAGGGGTTGGGATCCATCCCCCGAAGCTACCCATCGTGAGAATCAAACCGCGCTTGCGGGCCTGCATTCCCGGAGCGACGAGTTGCGTGACCTTGAGCGTGCCTAGGCAGTTGATAGTGACAATATCTTGAAGCTCCTTCGGTTCGGTGAGCAGGAAAGGAACAGCGGTGTGGTGACTCTGGCCGACATTGTTGATAAGAATGCCTATGTCGAGACCGGTGATCAGGTTGGCGAGACGAGCATAGTCGGCCTCGTCGTCGGCGGAGAAGTCCATACCGAGTACTTTCGTCTGTAGTCCCGCATGCTTGGTTTCCAGCTCTTGCGACAGTGCTTCTAACTTGGATAAGGTGCGGGACACTAGGACGAGGTTGAAGCCCTTGGCAGCGAGCTGAGCAGCAAATTCTTTTCCTAAGCCATCAGATGCGCCCGTTACAACAGCCCAGCTACCCTTCTTTCCATATTTCTTAAGCTAAATCGTGGGATTCCCAGGTGTTAGATGAAGATACGGCATGAACGAGGAAGTAAAATAGTATATAAGCAGAGACTTACGTTGGTCCCACTGAGGACGAATGTGCTTAAGAGTAAACGGAGAAAGCTCAACGCTTTGAATGTTGTAAAGAGAGCTCCCAGTCCCGCAAAGGTCAACAGGACGCCCTGCGGAATAGAAGCGAGACCATCGCTGACAAAATCCATATTAAATACAATGGAATATGACAAGTACTTCCGATAGGCTATGCTATGGTTCGCGTTACCCTATCTACGTGTATAGATGGAGGGAGTAAAGGTAGGAAGGAAGGTAAGATTTAGGTACTATCGATATTGTGTGCCGTTGGGGCTTTCCGAGTGAGAGTTGCCAAGTACCTAAGAAGACCAATTGGAAGCTAAGGTGCTAGGTTACGTCAATACCTGATAGGTTAGTGCAAGCACTATGGTAACTTAACAAGGTACATGTATGCAACTTTATGTAATCACCTATAAACTGCCATAACACCTTGACGGCCTCTCTCTATATTTATATATATCAAGCATTCCCATTCATCAACCAGGGTTTTAAAATCCACCAACAAATCAATCATCATGGATGTTCTCAAAGACTATCTTCCACCCGCCAAAGGCTATCTACCGTACTATATGATGCTGGTATGCGAAATTCGCCTTGCCTTACCCTTTCTAGCTAACCTCCCTTTTTTTTTCTCGTTACTTTTAACTAACCAATCGAAACTACAGACTTCCATCCTCGCGGTTGGAAATGCCGTTCAGAACTATATAACATTACACTTTTCCCGACGCCTCTACAACGGCCAGTTCGTACCAAACCTCTCCCTATCTCCTAAGTCGGCTACCTTCGATCCGGAAGATTCGACTCGGAAACTTGTACCTGCGTCCGCAAGATCTAATCCCAAAGTCGGGCGCACCCAGGATCAGGTCACCCCCCTCGCTGCCAGATTATTCGGTACCTATACTATCGTTTCGGCTATCGTGCGCCTCTACGCTAGCTACAATCTGCACCTAGCTCCCGTCTACCAAATCACTCTATGGACCTATGTCATTGCACTTGCGCATTTCGGCTCCGAATTCGCTATCTATAAAACGGCGGACATGGGTCCAATTGCGACAACCTTCTTCTTTGCCACCGTCGGTATCGTATGGATGACCAGCCAATATAACTTCTATGTCGAAGTATGAGCTTGAAGGAATAGGCTTTTCTATGGGACGGAGAAGAGTAATAGGTATAATATTATCAATAATATATGTAATCAACATACATAATCGACAATTTCGATGGGCGACGCATTTGTAATACTAAGGCTATGAAGTTCTGCCCATGTATGTTGCCAACTACTAGGCATAAATACCTAATCTATTGCTATAATACCTTCGTCGTCCACTATACGCTCCCCCTATCCTTGGAGTTTTTTCCGATATAGCTCTCCCGCGCAATCCCTCAGCCTTGCCGAGGCTTGTTCGGGGGTGATGTCTCGTTGCGGCTCGGCCATCAATTCGTATCCGACTAAGAATTTTCGCACGGTGGCCGACCGTAGTAGAGGTGGGTAAAAATGCATGTGGAACCAGCTGCTTTCGATTTCCTCTTCTGTTCCGTCTAGCGGAGCCTGGTGAATACCGGAGCTGTACGGAAAGCTTGTCTCAAACAAGTTGTCGTATCTCCTCGTTACCTCCTGGATCGCATCCGCAAACCTAAGCCTTTGTTGTTCGGTGAGGTCAACTAACGCTCGCACATGCTGCTTGGCGATTATCATAACTTCGAATGGCCAGATCGCCCACCACGGACAAACCACCAAGAAGGACTCGTTCTGGTACACGATACGCTCCTGCTTCTCTAATTCTAGCTTGACGTAATCCTCCAGCAGGTGTCGCCCTTGGTGCTCGGCTTTGTATTTGATCAATTGAACAATTTCTGCGGCTGGTTCTTCCGGCAGCGTACTGGTTGTCCAGATTTGGCAGTGCGGGTGAGGGTTTGAGCATCCCATCGCAGCGCCCTTATTCTCGAAAATCTGCATATATCGCAGTTGCTGCGAGGGCGGCGGCACGAGGGACTCGGGAGGTGCTTTGCGATTTAGGAGATCAAGCTCGGCGGCGACTTGGAAAAGGGGGTTGTTCGGCGCAAGGTAGGCAGCATAAATCCTTGTCCACGTCTCGATAATTGGGAGAGTCTCGGCCGCGGGCATATCAGCGAGGGTGAGGTTGTGCTTGGGTGAAAAGGTAAGGACAAAGCATTTGCCTTTGACACCCTCGGCGCGAAGTAGCAATGAGGCGAGATCTGCTCGGATTAACTAGGCCCAACCATAAGTTAAGAGGCGGTTAGGGGCAAGCTTATTACCATGGCTCGAAGGGGCTGCCTCGTAGTCTTGCTGTTGTTCTTTTACGGCGCTATAGTCGTTTACAAACACAAAGGTCTGACTATAATCGGGGTTCGCATCGCCTTGCGCTCGTGGGTTTCGAGGACAAAGATAACACTTGGCTCTGTTAGCGATCCGCATCTCTAATATTACGGGATAGTGTCGCTTGCCTTCGGGTCATATTCAGGCAGTGTGATGATCCCCGGGGCTTCTTGCTGACCCCTGACCAAGAACCTGGTAAGCAACATGTTTCCTCCTTATACAAAGCACAGATATATCACAGCACACTTACTGCCAAGGTCTCTTCGTCCTGTGAGGAGAAACTAAGAGCCACGACCCCCTCAGCGGATTGTAGCGCCGATGAGAGATATCGTCGAGGATCTTTTCAGGCATAGCGACTAGAGAAAAGACTAGGCTAGGCTATGAGGATGAGGATGAGGACGAGGATGAAGTTTGATTGATATATGTAATGGATAAGAACGCCTTTATTGCGCAGAAAGCGACGCGATTCGAGGCTTGAGCTAAGACGATGAAGGAGTTTGGGGGGTGAGGGGTGGAGGGTTCCTGTTAGAAAGAGCAAGTATTTACCTCACAAAACAAAGCAAGCAGAAAGCAGATGTGAGGATGCGAAGATGTAAGGAGATGGGTAGCTGCGGTGTATATTGCATTGTACCTGATTATCGGTCTATGTTATGGACGTGCATGGCATTATGTAGTTGAGTACCTCTTAGATACATCATCTGTAGGTAGGTTAAGAAACCACAACCCCGCCTAGGGTATTCTACCTACATGTACCTAGGTATGATGCAATTAGACAGGTGCGAGGTATCTCGGTGGTTACGTCGGCCGAATACAAGAAACGACTTCTAAAGCTAAAGCAGTTTAAGTATCTTGGGCAATGTACTATTTACTTCAATGAAAAAATGCCGCGTATTCTTCACTCGTACCTTCCATAAAAGGGAAACAATAATTACGAGGTGATACAATAGGTGTACACGTGCACCTAGAAACATTGAAGTTTTAATGTTTGCAACTGGCTTAATTTACCTACCTAGGTACCTAAGGTATCTCACATGATATTATTAGGACACTTGACAAATAAGTAAAGCTTATTCACGTGACTAAAGAGCCTCAGCCTTTTTCGGGTTAAAGCAGGTGATACTATTTGTCAAATCGGCGCGACGCATTCCGCATCTGCAACCTTTAACCTACCTAGAGGTCCACTACCTACATGTAACCAACCAGCAAACATACTAGAAGCTTATTATGGCGTACATACTATAGTAGGCATCCAACTTGCTATCCTCTATCGCCGACTAACTTCTATTACTTGTCGCGCAACATCAAATCTACAATACTCTTCATGGTATACTCTTTACAAAAAGAATATTCCGCTTACTTCAAATACGACATCCTGTTGATCCCCCTCTACCGTATTACTCCGTCGTCAGCCGGCGTGTCTTTATCAGTCCATTTCAACCACAATCTGATAATCAATTGCGAAGTCCTTCCAAATCGGGCTTCGTAATCCCGAACTTCACACTGGACGACAACATGGGTGTCATCCGCAAAAAGACGGCTACCAGAGGTGGCGAGAGCGGTGTTAAATACGTTTGCGACGTCTGCTCGGCGGACATCACCTCTACAGTACGTCTTCATCGCGTCCCTATTATTATCACTACTCCTCTCTCCGCCTATCTATCAGCGCTAATTGAATTCTATCTATACAGGTCCGAATAAGATGCGCCCACAGCGCATGCAATGAGTATGACCTCTGCGTTCAATGTTTCTCGATGGGCGCCGCGAGCGGCTCTCATCAACCAGCTACCCATCCCTACAAGGTCATCGAACAAAATTCATTCCCTATTTTTGACAGAGACTGGGGTGCAGACGAGGAACTGCTGCTTCTCGAAGGCTGCGAGACTTACGGACTTGGATCATGGGCCGATATTGCAGATCATATTGGTGGCTACCGTCACAAGGATGAGGTTAGGGACCATTATCTCAAGGTGTACGTTGACTCGCCGTATTTCCCGCTTCCGGAACGCTGCAAACCATCCGACATGGAACTGGCACAAGATGTACCCCGCGAAGAATTCCAGGCGCGCAAGAAGCGACGCATCGAAGATCGCAGGGAGGCTCAGAAGAACGCACCCCCGATGCCGCCCAAGACAAAGCCCACGGCCAGTGTGCCTTCCTGTCACGAAATTCAAGGCTACATGCCCGGCCGACTCGAGTTTGAGACCGAGTATGCTAACGAGGCCGAGGAGGCAGTCCAACTGATGCAGTTCGACCCCGGCGACGGTATCAATCCCCATACAGGAAACCTAGAGCCGGAAATGGAGCTCAAACTCACGGTCATGGACATCTATAACTGCCGGTTGACCCAGCGCGTGGAACGAAAGAAAGTGATTTTCGAGCACAATTTGCTGGAATATAGGGAAAATAGCAAGCAGGAAAAGAAGAGAACCAAGGAAGAACGAGATCTTCTGAGCAAAGCCAAGCCTTTTGCACGCATGATGAACCATGACGACTTTGAGGCGTTCTGCCAAGGTTTAATTGACGAGTTGAATCTACGACAAGCGATTACGCAGCTGCAAGAATGGAGGAATATGAAGATTGGCGATCTTCGCAGCGGAGAAAAGTACGAACAGGAGAAAAGCCAACGCATACAGAAGGCCATACCGATGGGTTCGATGGATCGCGAACGACTAGCTTCAGCGCAACGATCCAAGCAAAACAATCAGCCGGAACCACCTAGCGGAGCTGCTCTTCTCGTAGCGCCCGAGCTCCCATTTAGACCTGCTACAGTTGGAACGGTATCTCAAGACGTCCCAGATGCTTCAGCAAACGGCGAGCCCAAGCCTCTCGCAAATGGGCACACGAACGGAGTTACCAACGGAGTTACGACTAACGGGACACCTGGGCCGGGAAAGCAGAAGTTTATCTCACAGCCTATTTCGGGCGTACAGCCACTGGCGCTAACCCAAGACAACGCCCCAGACTTACATCTACTTACGCCGGAGGAAGTAGAATTGTGCAAGGTTTGCCGAATACAGCCGAAGCCGTATTTGATGATAAAAGAACAGGTATTCAAGGAAGGTCTAAAAGGCAACGGAGCTTTAAAAAAGAAACAAGTGAAGGAGATTTCTCGATTAGATTCGCAGAAAGGGAGCAGGATATTCGATTTCTTTATTAACTCCGGTTGGATTGCTAAGGCATAAGCTTTTCCGGTAGTAAGTTTAGGAATACCGTCAGTTAGACAAGCTCTTAGGTATACGAGTCTTACCCCAACTTAATACGACGTATCATACGCGCTAAGGCACTTATTTAATAATATTATAGCAGCCGATGCAAGATTACAAGTATCTCTGTCTCTTCGCGATGTCTCAATATAGTTTCATTTTATAAGACAACTTGTGGTGCGTATTGAGTGCAGCGAAATAGTAGATAAGTGTACATACCCGTGTTACCTATTACCTAGTGTACCTAGTTAGCTGGTGTAAGATACACAGTGTACATATAATATGCACATACTACATTAGGTAACATCATCCTGGTACCTGGTAAGCCGCAACCATAAGCCACAACTATCTAATACCCGCTCCCCCAATTCCAATCGCCTTAACCGCGTTCTAATCGCGCCTAGACCATTCCTATTTCTACCTGTCGGTCCGCGCCCTAGTGTGACCTCCCCCCTCTTCCCACGATGGTAATTGGCTATCAAACAATCGTAGGCTTCATGCCGCGTCGAAACCTCCTCCTCCCGACAATTTGTATCGTCCTCCTTATTGCGGCATGGACATTCCGAACTCCAAGTCCCTCTATTGAAAGATGGCTTGACACATCTGCCATACGAGGTACTACATCGCCGCCCCTCTCATCTTCTAACAATCCTCCAACCCAACTCCACAGCGATGTCGACCTATCCTCTCCCGACGCTCCCTTTGTCGGCTGGCCGTTACAAAGGGTATGCAAGGAGGCCACGTGGGTGGAAGGGTTAATTTACATATGCGACAACAATTCCGGTGGGATTGGTAATATACGAAATTACATCCAGACCTGCATACGGTATGGTCTCGAAGCTGGCGCCACGGGTCTCGTTATGCCCAAGATCCGAAAACGCAACGAGACAGACCTAGCCGACCTCTTCACTGACTATCTACCACTCGATTACATGTTCGACGAGAAGCACCTCAAAGATGCATTTTACCTCAACTGTCCCCAGATCACGCTCTACGACAATATCAAGGATATACCCGGCGTAGGTAGCAAACCTAATATCGAGCATATCACACCCAAGAAGTTTGGAAACCGCGAGGGCTGCGACTGGCGAGATCAGAATCGTCACACGGATCGTTTCGGTGATAGATTCCGCAGGTGGTTGAACGATCCCAAGAATGGACAGCTCCCGCCCTCGAGAGATCATCCGCGGTTGATACGTTTTAATTGGGGTGTTCTCTGGGATTGGCAGATATATCGCGACGGCCCCGAATTTGCGAATACGTTCGGTAGCATCCTAAAATTTAATGACCAGCTACTCCGCTTAGGGGAGGTTACGTTACAAAAAATGCGTGCGTATGCGAAGGCCAACGGAGTCAAGGATGGCAAGTTCCTCGGCGTACACTTGAGAACAGAGAGCGACGCGCTGAGTTTCTGGCCGACGTACGCTACTCAGACGGAAGCCTATCTAAAACAAGCCACAAAGCGAGGCTTTGAAGCGGCGTACATAGCCACGGGAGACCCTCTCGAGGCGCAAAACTTTGCAGGGGCGGCCATCGAAATGGCGCAAATGAGAGTGGTTAGCAAGACAGATCTGCTGGAGGACGAAGATCTGGAAGAGCTAGAGTCGTTGAGCTGGGATCAACAGGGCCTGATCGATCTGATCGTCCTCCTGGGAAGTGACTATTTTGTAGGCACAATGCCGAGTAGTTTCTCGATTTACATAGCGATGAAGCGGCACTTAAAGACGGAAGGTATATATACGAGGCCTTATAAGGTCGGATCGGAAGGAGATGGACTGTCGTATCTCGTGGGCAACTACGAAAAGTACTGGGAAGGTTGGCTCTACATGTGGGATGGTATGTGGCCTTGAGACATGTCTTTAGTAGAATAGCATCTCCTTAGATGCGAGTATCATAACAATAGTATGTACTATGGAGTGGTACATACGTGTATTTAAAATGTACCTACAACTTACATGTGAAAGGGGTCCGAAAGGGGGCCCTTGCCTGCGTGTGTATCCAAAATGTGTTTTTTATGTGCATATGCCTACTAACCTATGTAATCTAATATATAGGTATATATGCATTATTTAGGTTATGTATGCGACCGTACTCTTTAAAGACATATACATATACCTAATCTAATAAGCAGAAACTCAGGCAAGAACTTAAGCAAGAACTCAAATTCACAACCTCGACATCAATTTTAGAATCATCTCGACTAGAAAACTCGTTTAGCTCCCGGTTCACCCATTGGGCAAATACTAAGCTACTCTATTCTGAGATAACTTTCTCCCACGCTCAAAATGTCTATGGTAACCATCTCTAGCCTACAGCGCATCACGGCGTCAAAGCTAGCTGAGATGTTACTTGTCAGCGCGAACCCGCCGTCTTCGGACGCAACCGTAGCCATCGTGGACGTGCGAGATGACGGTACGTATTACTCTCTTTTTAAGGCTTTGACCTTTTGATTAAACTAGACGAATCGCCCGTTCACTAAATTTGGCTTGGTTTGGCCGACCTCTCTCGTCCCATCTATTATACCTAAGGACATATATACTAATATAATCTCTATACCGGCGCGCAGATCATATAGGCGGGCATATCAAGTCGTCGCTGCATTTCCCTAGCCGCAGCCTTGACGCTACCATGCCCACCCTATTGCGCAAGCTCGCCGACAAGGAGATAGTTATCTTCCATTGCGCCTTGAGCCAGCAGCGCGGTCCTAGCGCCGCCCTTAGATACATCAGAGAAAAGGAAGCGGCAGCCTCGGCGGTAAAGAGGACTGCAGAGGAGAAAGAGGTTAAAAAGGAGGGTAATGCGGCCAAGCAACAGCAAGTCTACGTTCTAGATAGGGGCTTCGTCGGCTGGCAGGAAGTTTATGGCCCTGATGAGCGTCTTACAGAGGCGTATAGAAAGGAGTTATGGGAGAGTGGGTATTAGACCAAGGCCACGATCAGAAAACCGCAGCATTAGAGATTGGCGTTTAGTCAAGATGGATCAAGAAGCATGTCTATTGGCAAGTGCGGTTGTGGATTATATTCGGTGAGCTTGTTCTATCATTTTCCCTGGTAATTTCTTCGACTCACAAATGCTCAGAAGGGGTAACTAATTCCCCGACGCCGCTGTGTGCAGCCCTTGGGATGGCGAAATCGAGTTCTAGACGTCAAGGTCAAGACGTGACATTCCATTGTAGATCGAGCATAGTTAATTCGAAGTTGTCTCACTACATGAGTTCAAATTGAATTTACATAGGTTTCAACGTGTCTTAGAATCTACACGATAAGCTCATGCTTGCCTAGGGGCTAGAAGTCTTTGGCCAGAGAAGCCCCATTCTTAGATATACAATAAAGACATGCTCAAGATTGACCGAGAGAATTTGAGTTCTCGCATTGACGCAAGGGGGACTTCAAATATACTACCAGAACTTTCTCCGATGCTTGGGTAATATACTAATATATAGAGAGCAGCAATTATCTTTAGATATGCCATATACTTCTACATAATGGCTATATTAGACAACTCATTACCCCCTTTCTGATCTAGCTTGCAAAATAACCCGGCAGACCCCTAGCACTCGACGTCTCGAATCTGTAGTCATGGTTCACCTACCCACCGATCGGGACGAACTACGCCGTCGCGTATCCATTAGTACACTTCCAAGGTTAACTCGAGCGGGTACATTCGAGATCGAAATACGTTATTTCATGAAGCACGTCCGCCATCGAGCCCGGAAATTTGAGAAACTCTGCAAGAGGCTTGCTAGCGTTATTAGTGGAATCCTGAAATATCTCGCGTTCGCTCCATACCTTCCTTGCGTATGCTTCTTCATCCTGGCAGACAAATTCGGAACGTCTACGGAACACGAATCTATAGAAGAGACTTTGGACGAAATTATCTATATTGCACATCCAGAATACCTTAGCGATGACAATTTCAATGTAGTGATTATAGAAACACGGGAGGTTGAAGGCTGAATGGCGAAGCTTAAAACCTAAAGGAGACAACCGGCTATCTCGAGCTTCAAAGCAATGCTATTCTCGCTCTAAGAGGTCCAATGAGGACCCAAATGAGGATTGGTACGGCATTGAGGGGCGGGAGCTTGGTCGCGCTCAAGTATATGTTATTACGATTTTGATCTCATAGGGAAGAAACGATGCGCTAGCTCCTACGATATAAACATGGGCAACTATTTCTCCGACTTTTCTTTCTTCATGTCTAATAACATCTGATAGGACGGCTCATTCTGCTTTTCATTAAGCTTCAGCATGGTGGTACCAATAAGAACTGGTTAATATGTACAAGAATACCACTAAACGAATAAAAAATGTCTCCTTTTCAAAATGTCCCCCACGACCCCTATTTACCTCCAATCCTGAAAGGTACCTCCTAATCAATGTTAACCGCCGTGTCTCCCGCTTGTATTTTCATATTTTCCACGTAACCCATGTCGTCGTCCAATGCTTACAGTTTCGAGAACGAAGTCGGCACGCTCCCGCCCGTCTCGACCAACGTACTCTTATTCCTAACCCACGCCTCAAGCCCTCTCTTCCCGTTTTCCACTCCGACGCCGCTTAGCTTCCAGCCGCCGACTGCCATCTCGGCGGGACTCTCACCCCAGGTATTTATCCAGGTAATGCCGGCCTCGAATTTCGAGATGATATTGTGGCATAGGTCGATATCGCGACCCACCACGCCGGCGGCAAGTCCCATATCTGTCGCGTTGGCGCGCTGGACAGCCTCGTCGACCGTGTCGTACGCCAGGATTGTCATCACAGGTCCGAAAATCTCTTCCTTCACGATGGTCATCCCATCGGTGCAGTCCGTAAATACCGTCGGTTGGACCCAGTAGCCCTCTTTTAATTCGGGAGGTATGCCGGCTGGCTGTTCTAACCCACCGCTCAGCAACGTCGCCTTATCTTGCTCGATGCCCTGGCGCATGTACCGAATCACTTTGTCGTAATGCATCTTGCTGCTAAGAGGCCCGAAGTTGGTTGTCGGATTGAAAAGGTCGCCCGCTCGGACGAATTTTATCTTCTCGAGCAAGGTGCGCTCGAATGACTTTTTTATCGAATTCGGGACAAATACCCGCGTGCCGTTTGTACAGACTTGGCCGGTACTGAAAAAGTTTGCCATCATAGCTACGTCTACGGCTTGGTCCACCGCCGCGTCTGGGAGGATAACTAACGGGCTCTTGCCACCCAGCTCCATAGTCACATACTTCATTCCCTCGGCGGCAGCGCCGGCTACCTTCATCCCGGTGCTGACCTGTCCGGTGAAACTAACCTTCGCGATGGCAGGGTGTCTCGTTAGATAGGACCCGACGTCGCCGCTGCCGTATACGACGTTGAAGACGCCGTCTGGAAGACCAGCCTTGCGGTAGAGATCGGCTAGGTATTCGGCGTGCAGTGGAGTGTTCTCACTCGGCTTGTAAACCATGCAATTTCCGGCAGCCAAACAAGGCGCGGACTTCCAAAGGGCGATTTGGATTGGGTAGTTCCAGGCTCCGATGCCGGCGCAAACGCCTAGAGGTTCTTTAGACGTGTATACCATAGCCGACGGCCGAAGGCGAAAGGATTCGCCATTTAGTCCACCGCTGGCTACCAAGCTTGCATAATACTCGAGAACGTCCGCCCCCGTGGTGATATCCACCGTTGAAGTTTCCGAGAAAGGCTTCCCGGTGTCGATGGTCTCGACACGCGCGAGAGCATCGTTGTACTCGCGCAGGAGAGCGACGGCTTGCTGTAGAATACGTGCTCTTTCTACAGCAGGAGTGCGAGACCAGGAAGGAAATGCTTCTTGGGCCGATTGGATTGCGGCGTCGACAGATTTTGGCGAGGAGATATGTATCTTGCAGACGGCCTTCCCGGTTGATGGGTCGATAGATTCAAAACTACCCGAGGATGGTGCTAAAGGCCGCGGGTGTCCCGCGTAAAATGCATGTCGGTCTAAATCCCTGAACTCCATGATATATATAGCCACGCTACAGGTATGATGAGAAATAACAGTGAAATTGCAATCGCGGTTGAATCTCTAGGTAGTCAGTAAGTCGTCTTCTCTCCTACGAGTAAAATGTGAGGCTTGATATGAGTGGCTGGTGGCGATTGAGGACTTGATTGAGACCCGAGGTTCCTATCTTCAATATCAACAGGGAGCCCCTTGATAGGTACAAGATATTGCTAGAATATAAACTAGAATGAATTTGGTGTGTAGATACGAAGCTATCAGTGTAACCTGGACTCGAAACACGAACTTCGGACGTGGATATTTATTGGGTCGGCTCCGGGTAAGATTCACGTCATCAAGTGGATATGTAAAACGCGGTGTTGGCGGTTATTGACAGTAATGTATTAGCAATTTATGTCTCCCGAACGAGCCCCGCCAGTTTGATCGAAGCTAACGCCTCGTGACGGTAGATCGTAACGGTAGATCGTGACGGTAGAAGGTGTATTAGTTATAGATAGCCGTCGACTCGTCGAGTCCAAAGTCTCAGCTAAACCTCATCTGTTTTCGTTATCTAGCAACGGTAGATTACGCCTTTGATAGACTCGAGATAGGAATCGAGCGGTGGCAAGTAAAGGTTGGAGCGCGGGTAGGTTAACTTCTTAACCTAAGGTGTTATTAGCCAAGTAAAGTTGGTGTGCAGGTGGGCAGGCTAGGCTATAAGAAGTTCATCTTTACCCAACTTAGGATAGCCCAAACCACCAGATCGACCTTGTTCTGCTTGTTCCGGTCTGTGCTACCCACAGCGTATCTGTTCTCTGCCCGGCAGCCCGGCCACGATTCGGGATTCGGACGAGTCAGGTAAGTAGTCAGGTAAGTCAGGCCATTCACCGCTCTGCACATATGATTTTTGCTGCACGTATACAACTTATGCAACCGTGGACTAGCAATGCTAGTGGGGGCGATTGTGAAGGATCAAGCTTGTCAGGGTCCTTATCTCGAAATTTGTAATTTGTATAGCGCTTGACCGAGTCCCGAACCGCCTTGGCAACTTTGTCATGGAATTCGCCGAGGGGCTTGAAAGATTAATAGACCCTGACTGCCACATGGCAAAGTGCTGTCTCGCTGACTTGTAACATCACAGGACCTGCAGCTAAAGATACGTGTTTAGCTAATCTCCAGTTGTTCCAAGTCGTTCCAAGGAGAAAGAAACGTTTACGGGAAAAAGAAAAATCACAAGCGAAAAAACTACGAGAAAAAAAACCCCCCAAGATGACCACTTCCCAGCTCCCAATATCAGATTCCGACAAGTATGATTATGTAGTCGTTGGCGGGGGTACCGCGGGCTGCGTCGTTGCGGCGAGGTTGGCAGAGTATCTACCACACAAAAACATCCTTCTCATCGAAGCTGGCCCTAGTGATTTTATGGATGATCGCGTTCTCGACCTTAAGCAATGGTTAAAGCTGCTAGGTGGTGAGCTCGATTATGACTACGGCACTACCGAACAGCCTATGGGTAAGTTCTTTTACTTCAAGTTAAACTTGTCCCTTATCTTACCGTACCCTATAGGCAATTCTTATATTAGACATTCGCGAGCCAAGGTTTTGGGGGGCTGCTCTTCGCATAATACCTTGATCTCTTTCAGACCTTTTCAGTATGACCTGGATATCTGGCAGTCATTGGGAGCACAGGGCTGGACTTTTCCCATCTTCATGAAAGCGTTGGATAGATTGAAGAATACTATCCAACCAGTTCATGCGAGACATCGCAATCAATTGTGCCAGGATTGGGTTGATTCGTGCAGCTCTGCTCTGGATATTCCCGTCATTGACGACTTCAATAAGAAAATTTCGCAAACTGGCTCCTTAAAACCTGGCGTCGGATTCTTTTCGGTGAGCTACAATCCAGACGACGGAAGACGATCCAGTGCTTCCGTCGCGTATATCCATCCCATCCTGAGGGGTGAAGAGAAGAGGCCGAACCTGACGATCCTGACGCATGCGTGGGTGTCGAAAATCAACGTTAGCGGAGATGCTGTTAGCGGAGTAGCTTTGACGTTGGAAGATGGCTCGTCGCGTACTATCAAGGCGAAGACCGAGACGATATTGAGCGCAGGGGCTGTAGATACCCCTCGGCTTATGTTGTTATCAGGTCTTGGGCCTAAGAAGCAGCTGTCAGATCTTAATATCCCCGTCGTCCGCGATATTCCGGGCGTCGGTGAGAACCTTCAGGATCACCCCGAAAGTATTATCATGTGGGAGCTGAAGAAACCAGTGCCGCAAAATCAAACGACGATGGATTCTGACGCGGGAATCTTCTTGCGTCGCGAAGCACCTGGTGCCGGAGCTAAGAAGTCGGCTGCCAATCCACAGGGCCTTTCCGATGGAGATATTGCGGATGTCATGATGCATTGCTACCAGATCCCATTCACGCTCAACACCCTCCGATTAGGATATCCCGATATCCCAGACGGCTATGCTTTTTGCATGACGCCGAACATCCCGCGGCCGCGCTCCCGGGGTCGACTATATCTTACATCTGCGGATCCCAATGTTAAACCGTCGCTGGATTTCCGGTATTTCACGGACCCGGAAGGCTATGACGCGGCTACTTTGGTATACGGCATGCGAGCGGCACGCAAGGTAGCAGAGCAAGCACCGTTCAAAGACTGGATCAAGAAGGAGATTGCACCTGGACCGAAAGTTCAGTCGGACGAAGATCTTAGCCACTACGCGCGCAAAGCAGCGCACACGGTTTACCACCCATGCGGAACAACCAGGATGGGCGACACAACGAAAGACGAGATGGCTGTTGTTAACGAGAAGCTAAAGGTCAAAGGACTAAAGAAGCTGCGCATTGTTGATGCTGGAATATTCCCAACTATTCCTACTATCAATCCTATGTTGACAGTATTGGGTGTTGCTGAGAGGGCTGCTGAACTGATTGCCGAAGAAGCTGAATCCGAAAAGGAGAAGGCTAGGCTATGATCGGATGTAAATGTTGATTCATATAAGGCGTAATTCTAGTGTTTTAAAAGACCGTTGTAAGAAAATAGATGCCCAATTTAGTTGATACCTTGGGTACTTAAACTTGAAGGTTGAGAGAAGAAGTTGCTCTTAATAATTAATAATTTCCAATCCAAGATCTCCCGAAACTTGATTTGACACGATGGTTACAGCGATGGTTATAGGTATCTAGGTACAATACCTAACCTAGTCATTTCCGCTATTGGACTGAGTTAAGCCTCCGTGGCTGAAAGGCGGT